GCAACACAAAAAGATTATGAGCCCCAACTATAGAAGTAGAGAAATAGTCTCCATGAATTCCTACAGACATAATTTACTGACTTTCATACGTACTTATAATATGTATACGCCTCCTGTTGGGGCAGGGCAAAACTGTAGTTGGCACGATTATTCAGGAATGACCTTTAAAAAAGAAGCTTATGGCACACTTATGCATGTCCCAGAGGCAATCCAGATGCCAGTTCATCAGGAAAGCAATAGCATCTTAGTATAAACTCATTTTTTGGCATTATTGCTACAGAGAACAGGCTCTGGCTCTTAGGCTTCCACAATTCTTTCCATGATGAAGCCAAATGATGGAAGAGATTAGGTTTGACATAAGGCCTCTCACAGTGCGCATCTGCTTAGATAGAGATGGGCCAATTCTGAAATATCTAACTCATGCTGGTACTTGAAATTTATGTGGTAGCTTTTTGGAATGGGGAAGTATTTTTCTCATCTGATTCATTAAAACTAGTAGTATAATAACTGGAATGATTTGAACTAGTGTTTCTGTATTAATGGTACATAATAATCCTTAGCCCTTGTATAGCATAGTGCAGCCTATGACCTCATTTTTTTCTTACTGAGGAGTTTAAATGAAAGCTAGAATATTTTGAAAATCTGGTCCTGATTCTGGGCAAAAAACCCTTCTGAAACTTTTAGCCTACACATCTAAGCCTCCTGCAGCTCTAATGAGTATTATCCCCATTTTATATGAATGAGGATGAGTCAGAGACAAGTACCTAAGGTCCTAAAGCAAGTCAGTGAAAGAAATGAGGTTGAATTCAGGCTATATCTTCACTACCAAATAATGGCTTATTTTTATAGTAAGATAGCCAGTTTGCTTTATTATCTCAGTATACCATTCTTGTGGAAATAAAGGGTAGGTAGACAGGTAAAGCCAGCATTATTTTTTCTATGCCGAGTTGTTTTATTACAGATGGTTTAAATACTCTTCCTTTAATTGTCTTGAGGGAAAACACCTCCAGGTTACCTACTCAAAGCCAGAAAAGACTCTTGCTCCAGAACTATATTATTCTGATTTGAGGTTTACTGGTAGTTTGCCTTTATTTTGTCTTCTTTCCTACTGCCCCTAGCTATGCTCACTGAAAAAGTAACTACCCAGTGCCTCGCTCTACTGCTGAGATCTGCGTACAAAGAACTTCCAAGATAAACAAAATCTATAACCTTACTGCTATGAAGAATTCTCGTCACAAATTTGAAAAAATAACTTTGTTGCTCTGTGTAAAGAAAACGCCCATGTAGAAATCTGGAGGGATTGTAACATGCTGTTCAGGGAATCATTCAGGGAAACCCACCACTGAACATTTCACTTTTTCCACTTAGGTCAATATCTTAACTGTCTGTAACTGAAGTTTTAATTCACGTTGTGTGGTTACTTCATCCAGAGAGAGAAACAGGATATAGTTGTAGATAGACCGGTGCTCACACCAAGTGTGCTAGAAACAATCTGAAAAAAGTTGGAGCTGTTT